TGCAGCAGAGCTGACTTGCTGTAAACAGGGCCTGAAATTGCTCCTCAGAGAAGGTCCAACATACTGGAGAAACTTTGGATTATCTGCCTTGAAATGCTCAAGTTTTCAGAGAACACAGGTTCTAATAAAAAGTGATGGTATTTTTTATTCTGCTTCACATTACAGAAGCATGACTGTGACTGTCCTGAATTTCTTCTTTCTTGGCTCAAAAAAACAATTTATCTGGCAACTGTGTTGCTAGTACTTTGAAGTGATTAGGCAAAATAGCTTAAACTGCAAGGAAAATGTGTGTGTGACTTAAGAGAGCATCAGGTTCTCAAATTTCAAGGGAAAATGTTTATCAGGGAATGGTTACTTCAGTTATTCAAAAAGAATTACATGCTGTCCTTTCTCCTAAAGGAAAGTTATTTATATATGAACTAAGTTGTTCTGCACTTGAAAATCATGGTTGTGATTCCTGATAGATACACTTGACCAAAGCTGGAAATTAAAATAGGCTCTTTGCCTCAGTTTCTTTCTAAATGCCACTGCATAATGCGATCTGCTATATGCTAGCAGGAGTGTACATAACAAACTTGTTTTTTTAAGGACCATCTGGAATGCATGTGTCTGAGCAGAGCCAGAAGAGAAATTAAGCAAAGTACCAAGTGCCGCATACAAATCAAAGAGCATGCTTCTTTTCTTGTGGGGAAAAAATCGGGGCACGAAGATGAGTTTCATTATCTGTCTCAGGCCAGGATGCTCAGGGCAATTTCCAATCTGAGTAAAAAACTAAACAAACTTTAGTAATGGAGAATATTTTCATGAAAACCAAAGTGCAAAAGACTACCATTGAAAAATATTTGACTTAGTCATAAACGTTTGAAGGAATCATGCAAAAGTTTAATATATGATTAATAAGGAAGACAGCTCATTTGTGTTTTTAAAACTGACAGGTCAGTGGATGGAGCTCAATGGACATGAGCTCCAATACACTGTGTTTTGTTCTTCCTTGCTTACTGTACTATAATTGTTTTAATTTTAGCAGACTATCTGAAAATGATGCTGAAGTTAACATCAACTTCCTCATGAAGTACATTCGTCTCCACAGCAAAAATGTAACATTTTTATATTGGTCAATTAACCTTCATTTTGGACCATGCAAATGAAATGTCTTGATTTTAATTTTGATGGAATGAAGCATTCTGGTTAGATGAAGCAGAAATGTATCAAACTAAAAGACCTTGGAGAAAATAAGCCGTATTAAATTAGACTGGCATCCTTATAGAATAGACTCAAGAATAAATTAAGAGGACAAGCTTACAGACTGATCTTCACAGTAGTCACAGACTGCCATGAGAAACAGATGTGATAACAATTCAAATCCTTTAGATTTAAATTGAGCCAAATTTAGACGATAAACTCCCTGGGATTTGCATAAACTTGCTGCTTTGAAGTATGTGCTTTTAAAGCCCTGTAATGACTAAGTATGGAAAGGCTAGAAACTAAAGTTTGGAAGAATTGCAGAATCTGACTATGGTGAGTTATCTGGAAGGGACTGGACCTGTGTACTAGCTTTATGCTTTTATTAGATGGTGGATGTTACCAAAATCTTACCTTTAAGCACCTTAGGTTAGGTTTCAAAAAGGTTGTCTCTCAGAGACAGAATTGCCAACTCGGTCTAGAGCATTAAAAAATCTGAGACAAATTTTTTATTTTATTTTTAAAAAGGGCAATTATTAAGGAAGTGGCAGTGACAATATGAAAAAAAACCACCAAAAACAAACCAAAAGCAAAACCAAAACAAAACCAAAACATAATTCTCTCCCACTGTTAATTTCTACCATGACTCAAAGGCAATCTGATGTAGGGTTTATAGACCAGCAATCAGCACACACCGGACAATGTGAGCTAGAAAAGAAATTTTGGACAGAAGTCACCAATACTCAGTGTCTGCCGAGATAGAGAAAGAAAGATTTCTCATTAAAATTAAAGTAATTGAGATAAGTATTCAGCAGAGCAAGAGACAAAACAAGGCTATGCTGTAGACTTCTCAGTAATAAAGTGGGTTGAGGTATGAAGTTTCTCCTATTCTGGGCTTTGCATGGCAAAGCTTTGGCAGCTGAGGGCTACAGAGGTGTCTTCTGTAAAATGTCAAAAGCTTCCCGTATCCAGTAGAGACAATGACAACTGGCTGCAAGAGGAACCTGCTGCTGACCAAGGCTGAGCCAATCAGCAACAATGGTAGCACCTCTGGGATAACACGGTTAAGAAGGCTGAGAAAAAACTGTGCAAAACCAATTGCTGACAGAGAAGAGTGAGTGTATGTGAAAGCCCTGCAGATACCCAAGTCAGTGCAGAAGGAGGAACAGGGGGTGCTCCAAGTGCCGGAGCAGAAGGTCCCCTGCAGTTCGTGGTGCAGCCCATGGTGAGGCAGCCTGTGCCCCTGCAGCCCACGGAGGTCCCTGGAGAGCAGATATCCACTTGCAGCCTCCACGCTGGAGCAGGGGGATGCTCAACAGAATCTGTGACCCACTGTGAAGCTTGCACTGGAGCAGGCTCTTGGGAGGACCTGTGGCCCCATAGAGAGAGGAGCCCACACTGGAGCAGGTTTGCTGATAGGAGCTGTGACCTGCAGGGGATGCACGCTGGAGCAGTCTGTTCTTGAAGGATGCACACCATGGAAGGGACGCACGCTGGACTGGTTCATAAACAATTGCAGCCTGTGGGAAGGACTCAAATTGAAGAAGCCCATGGAGGACTGTCTCCTGTGGGAGGAACCCCACCCTGAAGCAGGGGAAGAGTGTGAGGAGTCCTCCCCTGAGGAGGAAGGAGAGTCAGAGACAACATGTGATGAACTGCCATAACCCTCGTTCCCCATTCCCCTGCACTGTTGTGGGGGAGGATGTACACAAAATCAGGAGTGAAGATGAGCCTGGGAAGGTGTGAGGAGGGTAGTTTTAACATCTGGTTTTATTTCTCATTATCTTATTGTGATTTAACTGGTTACAAGCTAACTCCTCCAGGTCAAGCCTGTTTTGCTTATGACAGTAATTGGCGAGTGATCTTTCCCTGTCCTTATCTCAACCCAGGAGCTTTTTGTAATATCTTCTCTCCCTGTCCAGCAAAAGAGGTGTCCTGGATTCAGCAGCAGCAGTCATTTTTCTCCTTCTTAGTAGCTGGTGCAGTGCTGTGGTTTTGACTTTTGGCCTGGGAACAGCGTTGATAACACCAATGTTTTTAGTTGCTGCTTAGCAATGTTTAGCCTGACCAAGGATTTTCTGAGTCTCGTGCTCTGCCAGAGAGGAGGGGAAGCCAGGAGGCAGCAGAGACAGAACACGTGACCCAAACTGACCAAGGAGGTATTCCATACCACAGCACATCATGCCTGGGTTGTAGAACTGGGGGCAGTTACCTGGAAGGGCTTGATCACTGCTTGGGTCTGGCTGGGTATCGGTTGGCAGGTGGTGAGCAGTTGTATTCTCTTCCCTTGTCATTTCCCTTATCATTATTATTATTGGTGGTAGCAGTAGTGATTTGTGTTATACCTTAGTTACTGGACTGCTCTTAACCAGTGGAAGTTACATTCTTTCAATTCTCCTCCCCATCTCTCTGGCAGTAGGGGGAGGAAGGGGGGAGGACTGAGAGAGTGAGCTGTGTGGCTGGACTTAAACCACGACAAGAGGGCAGTGACAGACCAGCTATGGTAGGCACCTGGCATCCAGCCAGGGTAAAACCACTACACCAGCTCACACAGTTTTGTTATTACTTTACTGCGATGGTGTTTGGTTTTGTTTTGTTTTGTTTTCTCTGTGAGTGCTTATTTCCCTATAACAGCAAACAATGCATCTTTGCTGGTCCAGACTTCTGGTGGATTTCACATAACCCAGTGTATCACCACTGTTAAGTTTCTATACACTGGTCCACTGGCCTATAGCCTACACACTCCCTGGTTCAATGCCTGGGTCACTAACTCATTTCATATGGGGATAGAGGAGGGAACAAATAGTGGTGATAAAGCAGATGTTTTCTTGCAGATAAAAACTCTTGAAACATTACTGTACCCCAGAGAACTCTGTGTGGGGCATATGGAGAGGTAATGTTTGTTCCAAATAAAGGTTCTAGTGAGACATCATAAATGAAAATGGATGCTGAAATCAGCAAAATTGAATCTGAGGAATGAGAATCAGGAGACTGAGCCTGTATGTTTTTACACAGTATTTGTTGATGTTATCATCCACTAAGATATGTTATCAATGTTTGAAATAACAGTAATGCTTCTTAAAACTTTAGTAGGCACATTTTCTTGGTATTCTAATAGTATTTTTGTAAACTGATGCTTCATTACAGACAAAATACTATTTTGGAGATGTGATTTTAATAAGTTTTTTGTATTATGTGTCTCTTTGGGCTAAAGATTGTTTGTTATTGATACAGAATTTTATGTACTTGTAGCTTCAGACTTGCTGGTGCCTCAGACACAAGACCAGAAAAATCCTATTCATAGAATCATAGAATAGCTTGGGTCAGAAAGGAACTTAAGATCATTCAGTTCCAACCTCCCTAATATGGACAGGGACACCTCACACTAGGCCATGTCACCCAGGGCTCTGTGCAAGTTGATCTTGAACACTGCCAGCCTTGTTTCCCTTTCCATTCCTTTTACCTAGTTATTGACCCTTTCTGTTGGAAGCCCAGCTGTAGCCACAGCTCTCTCTCTGTTTAGCTATCATCACATGTGGCTGCCATACATAGATAAGCAAAGTTGAAGTAAGAAAAATTTCTCAGACCTGTTGAAATAGTCCAAACAAAGAAAACACAGTGTGTGCACCTGTTCCCAACACATGCAACAAACACCTCCACAGCATCAAAGAAACACCTGCAGTGTCCTAGATAGCAGGAGTACGCTCCAAATCTCAGAAAGACCTTGTGTTACCCTCCTTAAGGAAGCAGGCTGCATAAACGGATGTTTTAAATGAGAGTCTTTTGTTTTGTTTTAAACCAACTGAAAATTCAGTCACCTGCAAGGTAGTGCTTTTTGTTAGCTGGGTAACAAGAAGCACCACAGGCAGACAGTCCAGGCTCCACAGAGGCCCAGACTGGACAGGAAGGTTGTGCTACACATCTCTGACAGAACAGCGACCACAGGCCGGGCCCGACTAGGCAGCACCAGGGGGTGCACAGACACACGGGCGCACCGCGGCAGGCTGCCCGACACTCCGCAAGACCCAGCCCAGGCCCAGGCTGCCTCGCCGCAGCAGCGGACGGAGACCGACCGAGCCGGGCTGGGCCTGCAAACAGTGCCCGCATAATCAGCCACGCGCTTCCATGGCAACCGCCCGCACCAGCCACTTCCGCCCATAGCAGCCAGAGCGAGGCGGCGCAGGCGCAGCATCCCCGTATCAGTGAATAGATGTCGCTCATCCGGCCGTTCGTCATCCCGGTAAGCGCATGCGTAGTGCCGGTGGCTCGGCGGCGGCCCTCGGCGCGGTGGGGCGGGGTAAGGCGCAGGCGCAGAGCGCGGAGGAGGGGGCATTTTAACAGTAAACATCCTGTGATTTGAACGGCCGCTTTGGGCGGCAGGAAGGGCCGTGGCCGCCATCTTGTTTGTTTGAGTGAGCGGCTCGGCGCGGCGGAGCGCAGCGGTCACCGGGCCAGGCCTCGCCAGCCGCCGCACCAGGGTAAGGGGCGGCTCCGGCCGCGCTCGCTCCCACCGGTCGCCCCGGCTGGTTGCCGCCGTCCAAAACGGTCATGGCAGGGACCTGCAGCAGCCTGGCTGCCGGGGCGCTGCCGGCCTACTCGAATTCGGCTGCTGGCCCCTTTCGGCCGAGCCCTCCTTGAGGGGTGGGCGAATGGCAGCAGACGCGGAGGGTTCGGGCTAGCCTGGCAGCCTGGAGCGCGGCTCTGGGGCTCCCCCCGGAGGGCCCGCGTGGTGGGGTGATCTTCCCTTGGTCAGGTGTAGTGGGGCACCGTCTGCGGCCTGGCGGGGGCACGGGCAGAGTTCCGTGGGCGAGCACAGTCCGCTTCCAAACGGGGCAGAGTGGATTGTGCGCGGCGTGGTGGGGCGGGCTGAGAGCCTGGAGCGATCTCCCTGTTTCCAGGGAAGAGCCAGTTCATGGGAGATGAGGGAGTATTGAGTTAGGATCCCATGGCCGGAATAATCCTCGGCTGCGGGTTGGCAGAAGGGATGGTGTAGTTGCCGGGCTGCTGCAGACTGGAGAGTGGGAGAGAAGTGGAGTTTCATCGGCCCGTTTGTGTTTCTGATGTAATTTAACTTCTCACTTGGATAAAACACGCTAGTGAATGCTTCTGCAGCCCTCGTTAGTAACATAAACCGTTTTCTGGCACTCTGTTGATCTGCAAAATAAAAGGCCCTTTAAAAATGCCTACCTCTTGAAAAATCAAGATCTTACTCTAGCAGCTTCTGTGGACATTCTTGATGTAAATCTTGCTATAATATATATAAGATTTCTCTGATTCTGAATGAAAGTCTGTTAAATATAAAAGTGTCATGTTTCTGTCAGTAACAAAGGAAGTTGGGGTCACTATGACTTACTGGCACTGTTTCAGTGAAAATAGCTTTTTGTTAAATTTCAACACATGCAAGAAAATACTGTAAATTTGGAGAAGTTATCATTTAGGCCCACATTGTGTGAACCTGTGCAATAAGCATACGCTTTCATTAATCTGTTCCTCATTAAACCTTGTTATATCAAGAATGGTGAAACGTCAAAACATTAGTAGAGCCAGGCTTGCATTTTATTTCATGAGGTTTCATTTGTAAATACTTGTCATTCTGTGAAACTTGGAAACACAAAGCATGCTGACCTGAAGTTGTAACTAGAGAGGAAGTGGGGGGGGGGGGGGAGGATAAAAGGCAGGACAAAAAGTTAGTGAGACCTACAATAAACTTAAATTACCACACAATTAAATCAGTTTTGTCTTGCTATCAGGGTCGCCGATACCATGGGATTTCCCAGAGGAATTAGAGTATTTGCCTCAGTTAATACATGAGTTTCTTTGTTGCAAAATGTTAGAAAGTTTTTGTTGTTTTTTTTTTATGTTTGGGCTCTTTGGGTGAACAGTACTGGAAAAGATGGAAAAACATAATTAATTCTATTCTCACATTCAACTTATGTACATTTAGAAAGTGTGTTAATACATGGTTTCTACAAGTGCATTAGTTAGACTTGGAGTTGCAGAAAATAGGTTGGGACAATTGAGATAGTGCCTAAAATGGAAGATTCTTTTCCACTGGATCAGTGGGCATAGTGGATCTAAGGGCCAGGGGAGGATGCATGCTGGGGTTTAGATGTGAAATGGAGGTGGGAGGAGGGAAGTGTTCACAGGGTTCACTGATCTCAAGCTCTGTGCAATAATTCTGAGTGATCTGCCTTTGAATTAGTAACTTTAATGGGATGCTGGTTCTAGCAATTTGATTGTATAAGTGCATGGTATATCATAATGCAGAACAGTGAATGCAGTTCCTGTAAAGGGATGGTGCGCTTCCAGCAGTTAAGAGACCTGGTAGGGCAGCCTCAGCCACAGGATTTCAGACAAAAGGTTGGTGGAAAAACCAAGACCTGGAGACAAATGGAAAATGCTGTATGTGTTTATCAAAGGTATGTCAAGTTGGACTAGTTCAGTTTCATCTTTTCAATAATTAATTTTGTTGACTTAAGAAATGGAGGTGACTTGTCATTGAACTTCAGTAAAGCTGCAGGTGCCACAAAGATTAAAATTCAGAAAAATGTGAATTAATAGAGAATTATTAAGGTGGTTGAAGGAATGGATGAAATAAAGTGGCGCTGAAAAGAGGCATTGAGCTAGGAGTAAGAAGTTACTGGCAGTTTGTGAAAAATGGGTCCTGTGATGAATTTTAGGTTTTTTTCAGTGGCACCAGGTGCTCAGTGTGCAAATGGAACCTACTGGTGAGACAGCATTAGTTAAGAGCCCACACCAGGGAGGCTTTAGACACGTAAGAAGGACTGTGAAGGATTATGAGTTAAACTTTAAGAACTCCAAGTACAATTGCAGGGTCAGGGTAATCCTGCTGGACTTCTGAAGCTTGGCAGAGCCAGCTCAGGGCAGCTTCAGGTGCACAGGGTGAGCTCACTCTTCCCACGTACCCCAGGGCTGGCTTGGCTTAGTGAAACAGAAACAGAGGCAGCATAGGAAGAAAATGTGTGTAGGGAGGAACTAGGAGGGAAGAGAGACTGAAGGATGGGCTAAGAACAAATAAATGACTGGCTGATTTTTACACTGTAGTATGGAAGTTGTCTGCTGATCAGTGGATGAATGTGGCTCTGGAGTAGCCTGAGCAGCAGAAGTAAGTGACAATAAAACAAGACTGAACTTAACCTGTGAACTGGCATGTGTATACATAGCCTGACCTAGCCACAGTAACAGGCAAGTGGGTTTAATGGGCCAGAGTGAACCAGCCAAATAAAATGATGATGGATGTTAGATCTGTTGTCTGCAATATTATTGTCATTAACCTTCTTTCTGCATGACTTCAAGGATGGGACACAAGGTATGGGAGAGTGCTTTTCAGAGCTCACATAGGTAAATAGCTGTTCTAAGGTGCAGAAGGATTTCAAGACTTAATATTTGTGAACTGATGGTCAAGATGAAGTTCATGGGTAGCATCTACCCAATTTTCTTGCTTCTTCAGCAGGATCAATTACCAGATTCTCTGATGGGAGAAGGAAACAGGCAGATTCTGGATCAGACCCCACGTACTACCTGTATTGTATTAGTTTTGCTTTAAGTGCTCAGTTACTTTTTGTATAGAATTTTTGTATAGAATTATTTTGTATAGAATTATTGCCTTTTTTATACTTCTTAGAAATAAACATATTGAAAATAAGATTATGCAGTCATTGAAAACCAGTTTAGGCAGAGGAATCTGAGGGAAATTGTGGTACATGGAAGCAAATTTGAGGTTAATTAAAAACAAAGTTAAAGTCTTTTAAAAGCACAATTTGGCACGATGAAGATTTGATCCCACCTGGTCCTGTGCGAGTACATACTGTTTTTGCCTCAGAGCAGTGCAAGCAAAATAGAAAAATTAGTACGTTCTTAAAGCAGACTTTAAGGTCCTGGTTCACATCCAGTCAGTTTCAAAAATTAAGAGTTATATTTTACCTTCCAAGCTTTTCAGAATCTATCAGCTACCCTTTTTCTTCTGAGGATTCTTATGAGTTGCTCTTGCAGCCAACGACATATGTTATACATGCCTGCATTAGCACTCTGTCACTCCAAAAAGCTCTTAGTTCCTTTAACATTCTTCCCAGCCTCAAATTATGCCAGAAAAATCTACTTCTTTTTTTATGCCATAGCATCTGCATACTGCCCTATGAATTAAAGATCAGACAAAACGCCTGAAATAAAGAAAAGGATTATCTGAAAAGAAAGAAATAAATCTGGGGACGGTGAGAGCAGGCTTTGGGGCCATTGCCTTATCCTCTAAACAAGAGCGGCTCAGAACTGTGCAGGTGGGCTTTGTACCATTTATGGTACCCAGGTATTACCATACAGAGCAGAGCATCCGCTGGAATTTCCAAGTGGCAGAGGCTGATATTGTGACAGGAAATTAGTGCTTCATGGAATAGCGGTTGAATTTGTTAGTAACAGTTCAGTTTAAAATACACTTTAAACTGTCTGTAGTCTGTTGCTGTTTCTCTTCGTGTGTTTTGCTGTGGTGGGGCTTCAATAATGTATGAACAGAAACAGATGACCTCTGTCAGAATCTAGTTATTTTTGGTTCTTACTCCCTCCAAAAGTTCAAACAGCCTGCACGTGTAGTATTATTTATTCATTAGTCTTCCAAGGAAGTTCTAGGTTTGATCTGTATCTTCTGTGCTGGGTGGTAGTCAAACCTGGGAAACATCACAAGCACAGGTGACCCCTTACTGTTCCTGTGCCTTCCCTTGATACCATGGTTTTCAGCTTCTGGTCTTTGATTTATTTGGTAAGGAAGCATATGTTTTGAAACCCATTCATGCATGGTAAGCCCCCTTATGGGGAGTACTTTGCCTTTTATTATCAGTTCTTTATAAGACAGAGGGTAATAATGTGTCAGATAAAAAGCTGTAAAATCATTAGCCCTGGTGTGATCCCAACACCTAATTTTTTGGGGAACCTTGCTTCCTTTTAGATAGTCATTTGTCTTATGGTTGCATTACCCTTGCTGTGTGGGATTTAAAGTGATAAGTTGTTTCTGAGTTGACCAAATAGTATGTTTCACA